AATGTCCCCAATGCCCCAATGTCCCCACGACCCCACTGTCCCCAGTGTCCCCGTGTCCTGTCCCCCTGCGCCCCGGGGTCCTGTGTCACCGTGTCCCCACGTCCCAATGCCAAATGCCATCACATCCCCTTGTCCCCACACCCCATGTCCCCGTGTCCCCATATCCCAATGTCCCCAATGCCCCAATGTCCCCACGACCCCACTGTCCCCAGTGTCCCCAATGTGCGCGATGTCCCCGATGTCCCCAGTGTCCCCAGTGTCCCCAGCGGTGTCCCCGTGTCCCCAGGCCCGTGCCAGCGAGGTGGCCGCGGGGCTGGTGGCGGCGCAGGTGGCGGCGGTGGCGGCGGGCACGGCGCGGGCGCTGGCCCAGGGCCACGTCCTGCGCCGGCAGCTCGACCACGTCGGCGATGGCACCGCGGCCACGGCGCGGAGTGTGGCCGTGCTCAGGGCCCGGCTCAGGTGGGGACACCCCCGGACACCCATAGACCCCTACAGACCCCTATAGACACCCGTGGGCACCTATAGACACCTATACACACCCATGGGCAGCGGGGGGGGGGCTTACAGACCCTACGGACACCTTGGGGGTCTATGGGATTATGGGGGGGTCTGTTGGGGGTTATGGGATGGTGGGAGGGGTCTATGGGGTTATGGGGGGTCTCAGGGGCTATGGGGTGTTGGGGTGCTCCATAGGGGGTTATGGGGGCTCTATGGGGGTTATGGGATATTGGGAGGGTCCGGGGGGGACGTTCTGGACTGTCGGGGGGGTCTCCAGGACGGGGGGGTGTCACTCCCCCCCTCCCCCCAGGTGCGACCCCCTGACCGTGTCCCGCACGGTCCGGCGGATGCTGCGGGGGGGCGACAGCGGCGACAGCGGCGACAGCGGCGACAGCGACACCCCCCCCGCCACCCCCGGCACCCCCCCGCACAGCCCCGGGCCCTGGGGGGGGCTCGGACCCGCCCCCAGCGCTGCGGGAGCCCCTCGAACCCCCCCTTGAGACCCCTCTTGAATACCCCCTCGAAACCCCTCCCTTTGAATCCCCCCTTGAACCTCCCCATTAAACCCCTCCCTGGAATCCCCCCGTGACCCCCCTTGATCCCCCCTTTGACCCCTCTCAAGGGGACCCCAAAAGCTGCTCCAGAGCCCCCCCTCTTGATTTTTTTGAAGAGGGGACCCCAAATTCATTAAAGTACCTTCATGGGGGTCTCGGTCCTGAATGGGGGTCGTGGGGGAGGGGGCGTTGAAATAACCCAAAAACCGAGGAGGGGGAGGAGGGGGAACCCCAAAATCTTCTTTAGACCAATCGGGGGTGTTAAATCCCCCCCCAAACCAGCTGGGGGGACCTCAAAGCCCTCTTTACTCAATTGGGGGCGCTAAAAAACCCCAAAAGCCGCCCAAACGCCCCCAAACCCCCCCAGAACTCGCCAAAATCCCCCAAAAGCTCCCAACTCCCCCAAACGTCGCGGGAGGGGCGCGGCCTGCATGGCTAATGAGCTGAGAAGGGCGTGGTTCACATGGCTAATGAGCTGAGAAGGGCGTGGTTCACATGGCTAATGAGCTGAGAAGGGCGTGGTTCACATGGCTAATGAGCTGAGAAGGGCGTGG